TGCAATTGTGACATTAAACTTTTGGCGTAATCAAGTTTGGAGTAATCATGTAACCAATTACTTTCTGATTGGATCTGAGATCTGCCACAGAAGAGGAGGGATTCATGTCTGGTATTGTAAGCCTGGTCAAAGGCTCTGGAGGTCATAGGCTCTAGCAGGGAGCCTTATACTGTTTCTTTGTTAAATGGACACATTGTCAAACTACTTTCTAAATATTTGTTCAAATCCATGGGTTAGTGAAGCTCTCAACCCCTTTCTGCAGTGGGTAGCAGTTGGTGCAGAGATTCATAACTAATCAAACTACAGAGAACATGTGACTGTTGAGTGCTCAGAACTAAATAGGACAAACATATTTCAACCCACCCCCAGCCCAAGGCTCAAGGAGCAACACCAAAGAGGGGGCATAATGGGAGATGTCATTCTGTAAATATGTTTCTCTTATTGGTTAATGAATAAAGCCCCCGTTGGCCAATAGGAAAGCAAGATAGGCGGGACTAAGAGACAAGGAGGAGTCTGGGAGATGTAGTAGGAGAGTCAAGATGTAGGGACTTGAGAGAAGTCCAGACCCTCTCTCTGGTAAGATAAGACCACGTGGAAACACTTAGATTAATATAAATGGGTTAATATTTACGACAGAGCTAGCTGATAAGAAACACTGTAACAGGCCAACAGCTTTATAACTAATAGTGTCTCTGTGTTATTTAGGGCTGATGGGGCTGTGAGACCAGGCTGGCGGGCGGGAAAACTGCTCATAACAGGGGCAGAAAGAATGTAAGAACCAAAGGATGGAGAAAATAAGTGTGAAATTCTGTCCTTTGGGCATGGCATGGCTGTTGCACTCAGGAACTCACTGTAACTATGGTTACCTGCACTCAATCAAACCAATGAAATCAGTGAACAGCAGGTGGCACTGATTGGACTCAGTGGGTTACAAAAAAAGAATGCACACAAAGATGAGACAGAGATGTGTTGGAGGAGCTGATGGGGGATGTCCTTTTGTATGCTTTGAATATATGTTTCTCTCTTGGTTGATGAATAAATGTTGATTAGCCAGTAGCCAGACAGGACCCATAGGCGGGGGATACCAGACTAGGAGAATTCTGGGACGAGAAAGAAGCAGGGAAGCAGTCGCCAGAGAGATGCCATGTAGCTACCAGGAAGATAAGACGATGGGCATTCTCTGGTAAGCCAAAACTACATGGAGATACATAGATTAATAGAAACAGGTTAATAATTAAGAGAGAGCTAGCCAATAAGAAGCCTGAGCCATAGGCTAAACAGTTTATAATTAACATAAGCCTCTGTGTGTTTACTTGGGACTGGAAGGTGGCAGGACAGGGATATACAGAGAAACTTCCATCTTGGACAGGTAAGATCAAGACACACTGTATACATGTGTGAAACTGTCAGTGAATGGAAGATACTCTAAAACAAAACAAAAAAGGAAGACCTCAGCAACAGCCAGCATGATGGCACCTTATCTTGGTGTTGGGCAGGGCTAAACTTTTATATGGGTAGAGTGCATGCTGCTGTCACCTCCCCTGGACAGCATGTCAGCTGAGCATATGGTGACAACTGTGTATGCTCACTCAGTTCTCCCTCATCTTCCTGCTGGACCACCCCTTACGTGAGCCTCAGTACCTCTCCTGTGCTTTTTAAAGGAGTTGAGCACTCACTCCTGGCATTGTCCTAGCCCCCATCTTTTATCTCATCCCCCCCCCACTAGTCCTCTGTTGATTTGCCCTGATATTTAGCCCTGCTCCTAACTCTACACACTCCTCCCTCCCGTAGTCTAGACCTGGCTAGTTCAGAGGCAGGCTGGCCAGGGAGTAAGATATAGAAGCCTGGCTAGAAAACTCAGGCCCCACCCACGACTCAGCCATGGTCTCCTGTGACCTACCCAGCAGCCTCTGCATGACCTGGTCCTGTGCCCCAGTACCTTGCTGTGGATCCTCTCTGGCATCCTAAGCCCGGGCTGCTCAACTGGCAAGAACTTGACTAGGGGCTCAGTGTGGCCAAGGAGGGGTGGGAAGGAGCAGGGATGGAGAAAGAAAGGAGGAGGAGGACAGGGACAGGGGAGGGGAGGAGGAGGAGGGAGTCCTCAGTGAGGTATCTCCCCTCCTGCTGGGTAGGAGATGGGCAAGGGAAGCCAGTGGGAAGACTAGACCCACCAGTACAAGGGCTGTTTGCATCTCTGAAACCTTGGCTGCCTGTTCCTCTTTGGACTTCAGCTCCACTGTGTCTGTAGAATGTGAGGAGGCAAGGGAAGAGAGCTAAGGAGTCATGAGAGAAACAGTGGGGTTGGACCTGGCTGCATATACATCCCCACCCTCCTAGTCCAAGGAAAGATAGCCCCACCTCCTTCCTACCGGCTCTCTCCGGAGCTCCAAAGCCCAGAGGCTCAAAGTGTGAGGAGCTAATGGTTCCTTCTTCTCAGCCATTCCTTCCAAGTCCAGGTCAACCCCTGATCCCATCTGGGGTGCCCATCACCACCTTCGTCCTCCAGGGAGTCTCAGGAGGTTTCAGGAATGTGGGACATCCCAGGAGAAAGCTGTAGCTATCAAATGGACGGAACCCAAGAGGGAGGTTCTGAGGGTGTACTGCAAAACGGTGGAGGAAAAGCTGGGTAAGCACAGGGGGTTCCCATGACACCCGACAAAAGGCATGGGGCCTTGGGGCTAACATTTGCCATGCTGGGCTCCAACTCTGCCTCTCTCCGGATCCTTCCGTTTGGAACGGAATTGTTGACTTGGTTTCATTGTGAGTTAGACGTACATAACTTATTCTGGGACTGTGACAGGGACTCCAGCAGGGATAGCCATGAGCCTATGGGAAGGTGACGGCCTGGGTCTGCACTATCTGTGTTGTTCTTTTGCTGCAGCTAATGCCTATGAAACACAAACACGAGACTCAGCGTCCACGTGGAGTTTATTGAGAGAGGGGAGAGAAAGGGGGGGGTAGTTGGTGGCCAACCGAAAGCAGGAGAGAGAGAGAGCGAGAAAGAGCAAGAGAGAAAGAGAAAGAAGGAGCAAGAGAGAAAGAAGAAGCCAATGAGGGAGGCGCGCTTGCTTTAAAAGGGAAACTTGCACATGCCTAACTGAGTCCCCTGGCAGCCAGGTAAAGCTTGAGCAGCCTGGCTGCTTAGATAAGACTTAGATAAGGCCATGAGCATCCCACCTATCATCGGGGGGCAGGGTCAGCAGACTGCTGGTTCCCAACAATCTGTCTCCCACAGGCCCAGCTGTCTGAACACCTCCTAAGCAGATGTGCTGTTTTGGGAGGTTGTGACCTTTTATATTGGAAGCTGAGCTCCGGGTGATGAAGATGGCATGCTGAGAGTGGGCTGTTTGTTTGAGACAAGGTCTCACTATGTAGCCATGGCTGTCCTGGAACTCATTAGTTAGCTGGCCTTGAACTCTCAGAGATCCACCTGCCTCTGCATCCAGAGTAAAGGGGTGTGCCACCATGCCTGGCTGAGAGTGGGGTTTTATAGTATAGCACAGCTGGTCTTGCTCTCTTGGCTTCCTGCCTGTCACAGTATGATAGGGACTTGATGCTTCTGTCAACACAGACTGAGCTCCTCACCCTGCCATGGCCTTTTCACCAGCATGGGCTAAAGTTCCCTCAACCATGAGCCCAGATAAATCCTTCCTTGACCAAGTTGCTTCTGTCACTTTGTTATAATAAGTTACTGAAGTCCAGTCGGCAGTGGTGGTGCACGCCTTTAATGCCAGCACTCGGAGGCAGAGGTGGGTGGTTCTCCGAGCTGGAGGCCAGCCTGGTCTACTGAGTGAGTTTCAGGACAGTCAGAGCTGGCGAAGGAAACTCTGTCTTCAAAAACAAACAAACAAACAACAAACAACAAACAAAAGCTAATAATATCCGTCGACATAGCCTCCATTCAGTGTCTGACTGATGGGCTTGGGTGACAAAAGCTGAGCCTGCTCCCTGTTAGGTCAAAAGCAGCCCCCAAAATAGCAGTGCTGGTGATAAGATCCTAAACAGAAGGACCCTGACTGGGTCAACAGAATTGTTACTGGGTAAACAGAAACTTAAATTTGGGATTTCTGAGGAATACCTTAAACTGGGTTCCTGCTAACTAGGGCCCCCCCCACCCTTAATTTGTCCCAAAGGTCGACTACATTGGGCATCAAGTTCCCAATTAATCTGAATGGCCTGTGGCAGCTCACAAATCCTACCCTGCTAACTGTCACATAAAATCTGTTCGCTTCCCATCATTTCGCTGCTTTCTCTGCCCACCCCTCTAGCAAGAGATAGCCTTGGCATGCTGACCCCAGTAAATCCTTCTTTCTACCCACAAAGTGGTCTAGATCGGTAGTTTCACTGTGCCCTTGCTTACACTCACCCTCTTCCCATACAGGAGAGCTAGCTCAGGCTACCCCATATCCTACCCTCTACTTAGCAGGGAAGGTCCTTGGCCCTGCCCAGTGGTGTTTTCCAACTCCTAGGCAAAGCCCATATCTGAAGGCCCATTTACAGCTTCGTGGGAGTCAGGGTGGAGAGTCACAGAGAGAGGGCTGGTTTCCTGGATTCGCAGGTGGACCTCTTCTCTCAGGTTCCCTTCTAGTACCATGTGACTGGGTGCTGGCCAGCGCCGTGTGGCCAGAGACCTCAGGAGCCCTCTACACACACTCACCCCACATCTGCTGATGGGACGCTAATAAACTGGGAACATGCCTCTGCACAGGTGCAGGGAGAGACAAACAAACAAACAAACAAACAAACATCCCACTCTACAGAGTTCAGCCACTGAGAGGCCAGAGTTTATCTGTTAGAGCAAATGGTGTTACTTGAACCAATAAAGCTCCTGGCAGAAGTCAAGAGAGGCCCAGGGTCCTCCTGAGGTGCCCCTCCCCCACACCGTACCCTCGGGTGCTGCACAGGGTGAAGAGCAGTGGAGCTGTCATCTGGGGAGCTTTTTGCCCCCACCACCTTACCGCCAGGAGGGCCCTCCTCAGCGGGTCCTGAGGTCGGAACAGTGTCCTTGCATGAGCCTTGGGCCCTAGGTTCCATCATCTTCCCTGGGTCACCCAAGGGATATAGTGTGGGATCATCAGTCCCTGTCACCACTCAGGATGTCGTCCCCCTTCATCCAGGGGTGTTCTCTGGGGAACTGGGGAGCAGGCCAGCTGCCACCTGGTCCTGGTGCCACAACTGTTCTGCAAGGCTATTGAGAACATGGGCAGTGTCAGCCAGCCCAGCCCGCCCGTCCAGTGTACGCCCATCTGCCAGCCGTCGCCCTGGTACACTCTTGACCCGAAGCAAGGGCAGTTCCCAGGCCTGCCGGAAGGCTGTGAGGTCTCGCTCTGGTACATCTGTGTGCATGTACTGGTCAAACCTGGAGGAGGGTTAAGGCTCCTAGCCAAGAGGCTCAGCTCACCACCCCATCAGACCCAGCCTTGGCCTCCTCTCTAGAGGCCACACCCAGAGGCTGGGGTAGGTCCTGGACACCCTTTACGGAAAACCTTACCAGGAGTGCATGCTAGGGGCCACTTAAAGGATACTTGGAGCCAATGACTATCTTGACCACCCCAGGAGCCTCGCTGGCTATGCGGGTCAACTGTCCAGGAAGGTCTTCAAAGGAGGCTCGGTCAGTGAAAGAGAAGAGGAACAGGAAGGCATCTGCATTCTCTTTGCAAGCCTGAGGACACGTGACATGTGACCACATGGCCCATGGGCCCATGGGCCCAAGAATGATCAATAGCATACCCTCCTTCCACAGACTGAGACACTGAGGCCTAGAGCAGAGAGTGGCTGGGACACAGTCCCCAGTGCCAGTCAGAGCCCTGCAGCCCAGTACACTGCCCTCAGGTAACCAATGTTCATGTCAGGCTCCTATGGACAGGGTGGGTCTCTGACAGCCTCCACTCACAGCCCACCCAGGCCCACCTGGCCAGCTCACCGGTAGCATATGATCAAACTTCTTGAGGGCAGACTCGCCACAGTCCCAGAACTCAAAGCGGAACATGACCACACGGTCGCTGGCCCTTAGCTTGGCTGGCCAAAACACCACAGTGGTCTGAATACCTGGGGAGAATTGGGATCAGCCATTCAGAAGTGGGATGGGAGTGGGGTGGGGCTGGGAAGGGGTATGGGAAGGGGGTATGAAGAAGAGCTACATCCCCACCCTGTGGGCCACCATCCCAACATGGAGGGCATGGGAGAATCCCCAGATCAGGAAGAAAGAGTTGGTCTGTAGGAGTTCTTGGTAGACTAGGCAGAGTTGACCCACGCCAGGAGAAAACGGTCTCACTGCTTATATAGGGAGACCTCAAAAGTCTTGGGACATACAAGGCGGGGGGTGAGGGGGGGATGGGCAGGTCTTGAGCTTCTACCTTTAAACCAACTAGACATGAGGCATGTAGCCACCACTGTCTCTAGTACTAGACCAAACAACATGACTTCCCAAGGTCACAGAAGAAATGGCGTATTGTATATGAACCCCCGCTAATGCAATCTGGGGCCAGGTTCCTGCCTCCATCTCATGGAAGGCCACCAAGGATAGGCTGGGGGACAGATCCACTCACCCGTGGTCTCATGGTGCACTACAGGCACTTCCAGGCCTGCCAGCTTCGCCACCAATGCGGTCTTGCCCACACCACTCTTCCCAGACACAAAGATCTTGTAGCTGGCAGTATCAATGGCCACTGAAGGGGGCAGCACCGGCCGTTCCAGCAACCCTGTGGCAAGGAGGGAGCCAGGGAGAGACACCCAATATCTAAAGCTAACTGGCCAGCTTGGTTCTCAGCCTTCGGCTCAGCTCTACAGAGGCCCAGAATACTCAGAGACGGCTTAGGATCTCATAGTTTATCTGTTCAAATTGTCAACTGCTCTAGATCTTTGCTGGGGGCCTGGATGGCATACTCCTCTGGGCACACTTTGCTGTAAACATAGACCAAACACTGAGTGTTTGCTTGCATGTATGTCTGTGTATCATATGTGTGCCCAGAGCCTGTCAAGGCCAGAGGGAGTGTTGGACTCCCTACAACTGGAGTTAAAGACAGTTGTGAGCCACCATGTATGCGCTGGGAATCAAATCTTTGGAAGAGCAGCCCATGCTCTTAACTGCTGAGCCATCTCCAGACCCTCACACATTTTTTTTTTTTTTTTTTTCTGACACAGGGTTTCTCTATGTAGCCCTGGCTATCCTAGAACTCACTCTGTAGGCCAGGCTAGCCTCAAATCCATATTGATCTGCCTGTCTCTGCCTCCCGAGTGTTGAAATTAAAGGTGAGCACCTCTATCTCATGGCTATACTTTTTATTTATTTGTTTATTTATTTATTTATTTATTTATTTAGGTTTTTCGAGACAGGGTTTCTTTGTGTAGCTTTGTAGACCAGGCTAGCCTTGAACTCACAGAGATCCATCTGCCTCTGCCTTCCAAGTGCTGGGATTGAAGGCATGCGCCACCACCGCCTGGCTATACCTTTCATTTTTAAGTGAGTTATTTACAAATTGTGGTCATTACCATCATCAGTGACAAATGACTCCAGCCCAACCTTCACGGGTGTAAGAGCTAACCAATGTGAGATTTGTATGACGCATTATTATTCTTTATATTATTATGTGCATGTCACATTACACTTGTGAAGGTCAGAGGACCTTGGTGAAGTTGATTTTCTCCTCCCATCTTATCAGGCTTCTGGGGATCCAACTCAAGCTGTAAAGCTTGCGCTGCCTGAGCCATCTCCCTGACCCCCAAACAACAGTTGTTGAAGATTACATATATGTTTATTTCGATGAGTGCTTGCATGTTTGTATGCATACTATGTGCATGCCTGGTGCCTGCAGAGGCCAGAAGGAGGTGTTTGATTTCCCTGAGTCTGGAGTAATAGGTAGTCGTGATCTACTATGTGGATGCTGGGAACTCAACCCAGGCCAGTTGGAAAAGCAGCTAGTGCTCGTAACTGCCATCTCTCCAGCTCTTCCAGGTCCCTTTGAAACTTGATGCTTGAAATTTTGTTTTTCAAGACAGGGTTTCTCTGTATAGCTTTAGAGCTTGTCCTGGAACTCGCTCTGTAGACCAGGCTGGCCTCAAACTCACAGAGACCCACCTGCCTCTGTCTCTTGAATGCTGGGATTAAAGGCATACACCACCAGTGCCAAGTTTTGAAATATTTTCTATTGACACTGTTAACTATTCAATCTGGATCTCTCATACACAAAAGAAGGTGTTTTACAATTTCTTCTTTAACAGGGAAATACAAGCAAAATTATTTATAGCTACTAGGAATAAATCCCATAAAACCAATTCATTGATATCTTTATGAGTTCTTAAAACTTGTGCATCGGGGTTGGAGAGGGGCTCAGTGGTTAAGAGCACCAGCTACTCTTCTAGAGGACAGAGGTTCCATTCCATGGTGGTTCACTTCCATCTGTAACTCCAGTCTCAGGGGATCTGCCCTCCTCTTCTGACCTCTGAGGACAGGCACTGCATGTATGTGGTACACAGATACATGTGCAGCGAAAACACCCATACACACAAAGAATATTTAGTAATAGAAAACTTGCACATAAAAAAGTAAAAAACAATGATATTCCCTCACCTAATGATTTAAAGCCCTGAGTTGTGAGCTGGTCTTTGTTCTGTTCTGCTTTGTGGCACCAGGGACCTTGGCATGCGGGGTGACAGCTCCACCACTGAGCTATATCCCAGCCCTCATGAGACAGAATCTTTCTGTGTTTCCCAGGCAACACCTGAATTTGTGATCCTCCTGCTCCAGCCTCTCCAGTAGCCTTGGTCTGAAGCCTGCTGGTGCTGGACTCCCAAAGTGGATGCCATGCCTCCTAGCCTTAACCAGGGCCTTGCTTGGGCAATCTGCTTAATCCTGGGACACTAATGTCTGACCCTAGACAGCAAGACACTGAAGGGGTTCCTTCCTCATCAGGGCTTGGCCCTAAGCAAGTCTCTAAAAGGTGTTGCTTATAATGATGAATGGGCCCGGCGTGGTGGCACATTCCTAATCCCAACATTCGGTAGGCAGAGGCAGGCAGATCTCTGAGTTTGAGGCCAGCCTGGTGTATAGAAAGTTTCAGGACAGCCAGGGGCTACATAGAGAAACCCTGTCTCAAAAAACAAAAAACAATAGAATGAGAGGGAGAAAGGGCAGGGAAGGGGGAGGGAGGGAGAGGGAGGGAAGAAGGAAGGGGAGGAGGGAGGGAGGAAGGGAGGGAGGGAAGGAAGAAAATTGGATGGTGGTACACACCTTTAATCCCAATACTTAGAATACAGAGGCAAGTGAATCTCTCTGAGTTCAAGGCCAGCCTGGTCTATATAACGAGTTCTGGCTACATAGTGAAATCCTGTCTACAAAAAGGTTGCATAGAAGGCCACTGTGCAAAGTGTCCAGTAGAGGCCATGACCCCAGGTGAAGAGGGCTCAGTCAACAGCATCTCTGGTGACAGTTGCTGTTGGCAGGGATGGGCTGCTTCCATGTTCCTGGCTCTGTTGATGGAATTTGCTCTAAGGTGATTTGGGTGAAGGGGCGCTAGAGACAGCGTCCAAGGGATCTTGATGGTGAGGACTGCTGTGAGGCAGGTCCAGGTCCCACTGTCCTGTTTCAGCCATCACTGTCATTCTAGCGAATGTCAAGAGCGCACATTTGGCATGTGGTGTGGCGAGGTGAGGCACTTACCAAACTCCCGCCGGCGATTCTTGCGCAGGATGCAGGCTAAGTACTCCTTGCCCTCGACTGTCTCATGCCAGTCGGTGACAATCACCGAACCGTGCACGGGAGGTCTGGCCATGGCTGAGCACGCCGGTGAGGTTAGGATGTGGCAGAACACTGGGAGCAAGAGTGGAGAGAGGGGTAACCATTATCCCAAGCCGGCCCCGTGGTTCCTCCTAATCTCTCTCTGGCTACCCCTTGGAGCCTGGCTCCCTACCCGAAGGTGCATTTCCATAGCCCCACTCCTCCACATGGCTCTGGGGAAATATCCCATCCTTGTCCTGGGAAGATATTTCCACAAGCCTCTTCCGCCCTAACACCTTCTGAGGGCCTCACAGCTCCACTTCATCTCTGTCTCCTAGACTCCGATTCCCGGGACCACCAACCTTCACAGTCCGGGTAACCAGGCCGGCTAGAGAAGGGATGATCCCTTTAAAAGCCCGCCCTGTGTTCTTGCCCTGCCCGCAGAGCCTGTTTCCGCCTGGCCTAGACGCGGTCGGCGAAGCGCATGTGCAGGATGTTGCCATGGCGACGCAGGGGGAGGCGCGGCTCCTGAATTCAGGCTGGTCTTTGTGAGTTCTGCAAGGTCTGCAGTTCCTTCCCTCAGCTGGAGCTTCTTTGGCTTTACCAGTCTGACCTCAGATTTTCCTCTCAACGTGATCACTCCTCTCACCCCCGGGATGGAGGCTTCTCCAGTTCCCTCTGTACCTCAGTTTCCTCTTCTACAAATTGCACATTAACATTAAATGCTTCCCCCCCTTCCTCTTTTTTTTTTTTTTTTTTTTTTTTGAGATGGCCTCACTATGTATCCCTGGCTGAACTAAAACATCCTATGTAAACAAGGCGGGTCTCGAACTCACAGAGATCCTTTCTGTCTCTCTAATGCTGGGATTAAAGGTGTGCACCACCATACCTTGTAGTGTTCTTTACAACAGTGTCTGGCCAACACAGCTCAGCGGGTTTAGTTATTATGTGGATGTTACTAATGTCACGGCCTCATCAATCCTGCTCAGCAGGTCCAGCGTCAAACACCTCTGGATTGAGAAGTCAAGGGACTTTCTAAGAGATCCTAATAAAGAGTCATTTGTTTACTGATTGATTTATTCATTCCTTTCATTCAGCAACGACCAGCCCCCAGCTGTGTGTTCAGCATCTAACTTGTGCTGTGCAAGCAAGGGTGAGCCACAGTCCTGCCCTGGGACTGGATGCTCCAGCCTGGGCATGTGAGCAACCCAGAAGTTGGCTGCTCAATAAATGCCTGTGAGCGGGCCAGGACATGGGCCACCTCTGAGAGGCAGCTATTACGTGTAATCTTCACCAGCATCCCGTACAGTGTCTTTGAGTGGGGCCAGCTGCCACTGGCGTTCAGTGGATGAGGGAAGGGGGCTTTGTGGGGGGCACTGGAGTCTCTGAACATTCATCTCCATATAAACAGCATCATGTCTTTTCTATTACAGATGAAGAAACTCAGAGGGATGACAGGACTTGTCTGAGGTTACACCCGCCACATAGCCCATCAGTGGAAAAACAGACTCAGAAGCCTGGGTAAGTTACCTGACTCTAAAAACGCGTGTCCATTCAGCCAGATCGGGTTTGGGGTTTTCATTCACCTAGGAGGGGCTAGTGAAGCTAATAGCAGGAAGAGGGTAGGGTAGGGAGGAGGCGGGTACAAGAGCGGGTGCTTACACTGCGTGGAGGCAGAAGTACGAGAGGACTCTGTGGCTGGAATCCATTGCTCATGCTCCTGTTTGTCTCCCTAGTACTGAGAAATCTGCCAAATCAGGATTGTCCGTAGCTGTGCACAGCTCTCCCCACAGGCCAGGAGCGCTCAGGTCTGAATCTAGAAGTCTTTGGGCTTCTAGACTTCACACCCAGCCTTGCCCAGGCCTGGTTTGTGGAGGCACAATGAGGGGATGAGAAAATGCAGCAACTTGGCAGAGTGAGCTGGTGTTAACCTGGGGGCCTGGTGAGACATCAAGTCCTCGTGGGAACAGCCAGGGAGGTAGATGGATAGAGAAGCTGGTGGCCACAGAGTCAGGCAGGAGTTTAGTTTTCACTGCTTGCCTGAAATCAGGAAAGGACTCTTGATGGCCCAGCTTCACTTGGGAGCCCAGAGAGATTCTGCCTCAGGGCCTAGGGAGAGATGTGAGTCTGTAAATTTAACATGCACTGTGCTGCTCTGATAGTACCACAGTCTGGGGGCTCAAACAACAGAGGCCGCATATCCAGTGTCACTGCAGGGTTGGTTTCTGATGCTTCTGGCTGCTCCACCTTTGGACATGGCCTCTTCTTTGCCCAATCCCCTGCTGCTGTTTCCTTCTTTTCAGATGAGCTCTCAGTATTAGTCCAGTTTGGCCTGGTGAACTACTAATCCTCTTGTCTCAGCTGCTTGTGTGCTGGGATTCCAAGTGTGCTCTACCAGCTGAGTGGTGGTGGCGCACGCCTTTAATCCCAGCACTCAGGAGGCAGAGGCAGGTGGATCTCTTGAGTTCTGGACCAGCCTGGTCTACAGAGTGAGTGAGTTTCAGGCCAGCCAGGGCTACACAGTGAAACCCTGTCTCCAAAAACAAAACAAAATAAAACAAAACAAAACAAAAAAACAACCCAGAAACAAAAACAAAACAAGCAAATAACTAAACAAAAAACAAAAACAAACAAAACAACCAAACCAAAATAAAAACTCGGTGTGCCCCACCACACCAACCTCTGCTGCTCTCTCTCTTGTTTTTGTTTGTTTTATTTTTGATACAGGGCCTCACTGTGCAGCCTTGGCTAGTCTGGAGCTTGCTATGTAGATCAGGCTGGCGTAGGACTCACAGAGATCTGCCTGCTTCTGCAGTCATGAGTGCTGGGACTAAAGCACATTGGCTGTCACACTGTGTAAGCACACTAATCTGGTTGGATTAGGACCCTACCATCATGACCTGTTTTAATTTTAACTCCCATCGTAAAGGATCCAAATACAGTCCTATTAGAGTCAGGCCTCAACATGTGGGCTTTGCAGAGACACAAGTCAGTCCTCAGCAGGGCCTTAATTAAATAAACCCTGCTGCTGAGGACAGGGAGCGACCAACACAGGCAGAGGATGACAGGTTCAGAGCTGTCAAGGTTCAAGTTTCATTGCCTTCGCCCCCAGCTTCAGCAAGTTGCCTCTCTCTCTCTCTCTCTTAAATTCACTTATCATGTATACAGTGTTTGTTAGTATTCAGGCATCTGCACTGGCCTATCCCTGGGGTCCTGACAGGACACGCCCTCACCTCAGCCACCATGTTCCCTTTTAAAAGGGCCTTCCCACCTCTCATCCTCCTTTGTCTCCCTCTGTCGCTCTCTTCTCTGTCCTCTCTCCTCTTCCCTGCTGCTGCTGTCTCTGGACGCCAAGGCCAGTCTTCCCACTGGGATCTGTCACCCCGTTGGCATTTACGGGCATTACTTACAGACACACGCGCACACACGCGCACAGGGAAGGGGAGAGATCAAAATAAAATACTTTCTGTTTGTTTGTTTGCTTGAGACAGGGTCTCTGTGAAGCCCTGGCTGTCCTGAAACTCACTCTGTAGACAAGGCTGGCCTTAGAACTCAGAGATCTGCGTGCCTCTCTGCCTTCCAAGTGCTGGGATTAAAGGAGTATACCACCGCTTCCTAACCTCTTGTCTCTTTTTAATTTAACCCTGAATCAGTCATTTAAGTTCAGTAATTTCCAGGTAAACACTAGTTCATCTCTTTCTTGTTTCTTGCTTTTTGAGACAGGGTCTCCCTATGTAGCCCTGGCTATCATCTTGGAACGTAATCTGTAAACCAGGCTGGTCTGGAATTCAGAGGTCCACCTGCCTCTCTCCCCCAAGTACCCAGCCCCCCCCTTTAAAATCCTCTGTTCCCCCAGCCTTGGGGCTCATGTTCAGTGTTGAAGGCTTACTTGAATGCCAGGGAAGCATGGTGGGCAGGGTCTCCCACTCAGAGGTCGTCTCTCAAAGAGTTTGCTCCAGAGAGAACTCTGCACTGAGCCCTTCAGCGCTGGTCTGGTCTCCCAGAGACTTTCTCCTTCTACTGGGGATTCAGATTGTGATCTTTCCCTGCCACCCCCCAGAGGATAAACTCAGGTCATCACAGTCATCCAACAGTCTGCCAGCAGTAATAGCCATTACTAGCCTAATTCAGAGTACCCAAGTATGGAGACACACCCCCAACGATCAGGCCTCTGACAATTCCTCACAGGAGGGGTGAGGAGGGTGTTAGACCTTCATCTGGGAGTGTAATCACTCCCTCCTGCTCCTCCACCCAGCTGTATGCAATTGTGTCTCAATTGCATGTGGTCTCAGGAAGTAGGGTATATAGGAGGAAAATTAAAGGGTGGATGTCATTCTCACAGTTTGGGGGAGTTCATTACTCATGCTGGGGTGTAGCCACTGTTTTGGGGTCACCTATGCTCCTGCAAAGAACCCCACCATTGTTCACTGGGATAGGATGGAACGGTTCCTTTGATCCATTGCTGACAGCTGAGGTGAAGAAACATTTGTGAGGAAACCAGAAGCTCCACCAGGGGTGTTTCTTTGGGTCACTAGTGTATCCCATTGCCTGGGAGTGAGGGTCAGTAAATGCTCAAGGGATGCTTGTTGAGAGTCAAGGATTCCCCAGGTCAGTGCCAACCTTTCCACCATCAACAGCGCATGCCTTCCTGACAAGTGTTTGCCCTTCTCTCCTGTAGGGGGTGGGCAGCTGAAGTCCCTGGGTGGGGGAGAATATGTTAGGACTTCTAGGTCTTAAGACACCAGTTTGGCTCCAGGTATACTGACTGCATCTGCAACCCTCAGCCCAGCTTCAAAAAGATACCAAGTGTCCTACAGCGGGAGGCTGGGGCGGAGAACACTGGGTGGGCTGTGCTGGGCCTGCAATGGTTAGCTTAGGGGTGGCACTCTGAAGGTGAGTCAGGCTAATCAGGAGGGTCAGCCAGGGTTCTGAAAGAGGAACGATGGGCAAGCCATCTGGTCTCTTTCCCTACTGTTTTGAACATGACACAGGCAGGTTCACACAAAGCCTTTCCTAGGGCTCCTCCAAGTGGTCTTTGGGGGAATCACAACTATTCAAAAGCTTAAGCCTTGCCTGGTTCCAGCTAAATTGCTAGAAGGTGGCTTCCCAACACTGTCTCTTTACTGACAAAGCTTGAGGTTCAAAGAAGTGAGAGACTTGCCCTGACTCATCTCTGGTTCCAAGTTTATCTTGGTTTAAAGCCTGCACTATAACCCCTCTTACTTCTGAGTCCAATCTCATTCCTGATCTCATGTATAAACCAGCGGTCACCTCCCCAGCAGCTCGCAGCTCGTCAGTTTCTCTGCTCAACACTTCCAGCAATGGTGAAATCACTCTCACACTTATTCCCTGGCAATAGGCAATACTGTAGAAGAGCTAATACAGGTAAGGGATTTTGTCCAGTGGGGTGGAGGGAGAGAATTCCCAGTCATGTGGCCAGCCTGCTAGGTTTGGAGGTGGTGTCCTTATTTTGCCAAACCCACAAGGGTGCTCCAGACCCACAGCTCTTAAGGGACCTTTCTTGGGTTTCCAGAAGATAAAGACAGTCTGGGCTGGTGAGTTTGCATTGTCTCTCTTCCTGGTCATTTACACTCAAATGAGGGAGGCTACCCTGGCTGGGGAGTACTGTGCTGGGCCTGCAGGGGGTGACAACTTACCATATGCCAGGTACAAGATCCCTTTACATGGCATCTTCCTGTGGAAGGGTGGAAACAAGCAGCCCCCAGCTGTTAGGAGTAAACAGGGGCGTTTGCTGTGTTGCCTGGAAACCCCTTGGTCAGGCCCCACCTGACCTCTGCTCAGGTAACTCATGATGCAAAGGCTACCCTGGTGCTCTGCTCACTCCTTCCCTCCCCTCCACGGCTCCATCACAAAGTGAGACTGAACATCTGCAATGCTGTGACCTTCAAGCATGGTGGAGAGGGACAACATTCCCTCTCAGCAAACACAACCTTCCAACCACCTCCTCCCACCCCCAACTGCCTTCCATCCCAGGGATTCCCCCCCCCTTTCTTTTGTTATTTCTTTTCTATTATTTTACTAATAAAACAGTCAAGACAATTCAGACCATTTTTGTTTTATTTGTTAAACTGCTAAAAAGTCATCAGGGGAAAACATTAACAAAAATGAAATTGACAGATTTAAATATCCATGGGTTCCATTTTCATTCCTACACTGTGATGTGCCTAACATGACTCTCAGGGTGAGCCCCGGCACCCCTGAGTTGTATGGGAACATCACTCGCAGCACCAGCTTCGCCAGGGCACAGGTGCGCACTGACATGAGCCCTGGTTGGTAGGAGGGGGCAGATCGGGCAGATCGAGCAGCGCGAGCACATTGGAGCCAAAGAGGCTGGCTTTCATTCACAAGGACGGAGGGGTGAGAGGCCACCTACTGATGACAGCAGAGCATGCCTTAAGCAGTACCGGAGGCCAGGCTTCCTTGCCCTGGCCCTTCAATCCTCTCCACCGTCTTATGCACTGGTGGGACTACAGGTAACACAAAGCAGAGTACATCACCATGCTGGGGTCACCACGAGGACAAGGACAGACAGACGGACAGACCAAGCAGGTGATTCACTCTGAAGGGAAAGGGAAAAGCAAAGCAGAACCCAGAAAGACATGGTAAAGGAAAGAAGGACCCCCAGTGGCTTTCTGTCCTTCAGAGTTGAGCCTTCCCGCAATGGCGCTTCCTCCTCTCTGTGTTTTAAGGAGTTCCAAGGCCGTTCTTCCACGGTTCGCGGCTTCGGTTCTTGCTATAGCTCAAACATTAAAATCAATCAGCCCACAGAGGGCAGGGAGGAGAGCAAGCCCCAGCATTAAACAAAACAGACATTTGTTTCTATACCTTATTGGTGCTCCCAAAATGCGGGGGAGGCAGGCTTCCCAAGCAGGGAAGGCGGAAACAGGAATGACAATGAATGCTCTCTGCTGCATGGTGTGTGGGACAATGACCAGGAGGCTGTGCAGGAGCAGAGCAGTGCCCAGAACTCTCACCCGAGGGAGGCCAGCCAAATGACTGAAGTTAATATGACCAAGGGCTCTCAAAGGCACACTTGCAGGAATGGAAAGGGTTAAAGCTTCAAGTAGAAACAAGATGTATTTTAAATACTTAAATACTGATAAATATTTGCTTTAGGTGCTCCTGAGGGTTCAAACAAAATATTTTGTCTCATGTCTCTCAGTGAATTTTAAGACAAAATTGGTATCGTGTCACAAGGAGTTGTGGTTAAATCTGAACTGCCGGTCTTGTGGGAACGCTGACCCTGCAGAGACACTGGAAGTCCTGGCACACAGTCTCACGGGGGCGGGGAGCCACCAAACCCTACACTGCTGGCTGCATGCAAGGCTCCCTCTGTTCCTTCTGGAGGGACTGCAGATACCAGATACTCAGCAGTGTGGGCAGCCCCAGGACCCCCGAGGTCAGAGGAACCCATTGCTTTCTAAGAGGTTAGTATCTCTGTCACCTTCCTACTTGGGAAAAGTAGAAGAATCAACAGTTGACAGCCAGCTTAGGAAGGCCATGGGGGAAGGAAAAGAAAGACTACAAACTCCAGGTGTCTGAGTACTTGATGTGCAAGCAGAACCCAATTCCAGAGGCGCCATCCACACACAAACCTCACAGCCAGGGGTCAGTAATGCCAGGCTGCTCATCCGCTGACCTTGCCTCTTAAGTCAGGGCCCCACAGGATCAAACAGTCTTGGCCAAAGGACTGGCAGAAGCAACAGAGCAGGGAGCGGAAGTGGGGGGGCACACGGGAAGTAGGCACAGGGGTGTTCCTTAGGGAGCAGCTCCAGAGCACCTTCGGTCTCCGGAGCTGGCCCTTCCCTGGGCTTCCACAGGGGGACTTTCCTGCTGAGACCACCAGAGCAAAACTACTGGCTAAGGGAAGACGGAGCATGAAGCAGGAGATACACACTCAGACAGGTAGAGCACTGGCTGTGAGCCAGGACCCAGGGCCAACTGTAGTGAGCTTGTGCCTGGGAGATGCGAACAAGAAAAAGGGAGAGTGGGGAAGACATTTTTGTTTCAATTTCAGTTTTAAAGGCAAAATGAAAACGCTTGACCACTGATGAGAAACCACCAAAATCATAGTTGCATGGCCATTTAAAATAATCTCATTTTGACGTCTTCTATGTCCAGAAAGACTAGCGATTTCTGGTGTCCTCTGAACAAAATAAACACTCTCAAGTATCTCCATGGTTAACGACACGATAATCAAGTCAGTCACTTGTCAACAGCACAGCAAAAGGTGTATCACAAATGAGGAGACCCTTTCTGGAAGGAACTGTTCCCAGATTCCCTTTTAAGACCAACTCCTACATTCTACTAATAAGAATGGGCGTGCCCACTGTAATGTGGAGATAAAAGAAACACGCGGACAAAAAGATAGCTTTTGGGCTGGGCCTGGTAGTCCATGCCTTCCCTCCTAGCACTTGGGAGGCAGAGGCAGGGGGGGGTCTCTGTGAGTGACAGTGAGACTCTGCTGGGGGAGGGGATGGAAGGAGAGGTGACTTTTGAGATTTTTTTAATGATTCTGTCATCTTGATTTGTTTTGTTGAGACAGGGTCTCATCATATAACCCAGGCTAGCCTTAAATCTGAAATCATCCGGCCTCTGACCTGAGTGCTAGGGTTACAAGTGTGCCCCCTCCCCCACTGCAGTGGATACTGGCCCTGGCGATGCAGGGAAGGCTAGGGAGCATCTGGTTTCCATAGGCAGAGAAGCAGGGGCAACGTAAGTTCAGATGCTTTTTAAAAAGGTCAAATGCCCCAAACAAAATAAAAAGTAAAATAAAACCCGCAACTAAAGCAAACCACCAAAGGGCAGGGGAGTAGCCTACAGATGGAAAAGAGGTCTCTGAGGACCAATTCTAAAAGGAAAACAATATGCTTTTTGGCAATTTGCAATCAAACACGATTGTCAGAAAAATCCCATAATCAGACACTGCATGTTTGCTGAGACATGTAGGGGAAACTCAAAAGACTAAAGACAGGAAAGAGGCAGATGGATGGCTCTATAAACATTGTTTCACTGTGATTCCAGTGTGAGGGGAACAATATTTCTTGTTGGTGACTTCTCTGGATCACAGAAGGGACCAGGCACAGAGTGCTTCTGCAGAGCCGTCACAGGTCCTCTGTGGTTCAAACTGTTTTCTGTAAGTGACTCTGGCCCTGCAGCATGGGTGTCTGAAGCCTCTTTCCTGGTGTCGTGTCTGAGAAGGCCACAGAAAGATCCAGGGAGCTCTTCAGCTTGTTTCTTGTGGGAAATTACTGCTGTTAGTCTGTTCCTAATTTCCTTGTCTGGTTACCAGCAGAGTAGAAAACGCCAGCACAGCCTCTACTAAGACAGCAACAGCTGATCTGAACCAGGATGGAGATCTCACCTTTATTTGTAAACAGAGTTGGCTATATAATATATCTGTATATATTTATATATAATCTTTTCCTTAATGGAGATTTGATCCCAGCCTGGAATGAATTAGGCATGGAATTGGAGTTTTGGTTTGTGGGAGTTGTGTTGTTTTCCCAAGTCTCGGTCCAAACGCTTGTATACTGGAAAATTCCAAATGAAAAGCCACAGAAAGGGAAAGGACTTTGAACACATTATCTCTTTGCTCGTACAAAGTACAAGGCGTTTGTTTTTGGATAGTACTTCACATTCTGCTTCTTGTCCATGAGCCCTCCAAATATAATAAGCTCTCCTCGGCCCTGTACCACTGTATGCAGGCTGGTCTCAGGAGGCCCCACCACAGAACTGCTGGTAAAAACTTTCCATTTGACCCGGCCTTTCTCCTTGGTGTCTTTAATGTCCAGCACATACATCTGCATGGGCTTGCAGTTCATACTCTGGTAGAGGGGTTTGCCAACATTGAGGGACTGTGGAGGGTGGTGGCCCAGGCGTCGAGCAATTGGAGGTAAGGAATGACCATCTCCTTGGGCTGGTCCTGGGCGGGGGATGGGTACTGTTTCTCCACTGCCCAGGTTCTGACTCCCTGGGGAGCTTGGAGAAGACCCAAGAGGAGGACTTAGCGTGGCCGAGGCTGAGGGGCCTTTGGATGACATCGCTTTGATGGCTTCCAAACTCCGACGCAGGGCACTGGGGGATACAGCCCCAGCAAGGGCACTGGCCACATGTGGTGGCGTATGAACACCATTGGTCTGTTCTGGAGGGTGTCTCACACCCCCCGCCACTGTCCTGTTGTCTGTACCATCCACATGACTGCTATTGGAAGCAGACTTCAGGTCCCAATTCAGGTCAATGGAGCTTAGCCTAAGGTCCTTCTGATCTGGGAGAGACCCTCGGCGGGGTGCTAGGGAAAGTCCCATTTTTAGGTCATACCCTTCAGAGGCAGATGGGGTGCTTGGAGATACCACCTGCACAGGGCTGTCTAAGGAAGCACCCCCAACAGCTGCTGTTCCTGGAGACAAGGTTCCACCATTGAGGATGGGAGAGCCATCTCCTCTGGCTGGGGAGAGGCTCCCTTCCCGGGAACCTGAGGGAGTCTGCCTTTGAGCCCTGGGCCTCAGTGTTCCCCAGCGGCCATTAACACAAGGAGCTTCATCCATACTCCTCACTGGAGACTGGGAGCGGTATTCTCGGGTCTCAGGAACCAGGGCTGGAGGAGTGGCACTGATAGGTGATGGGCGAGAGTTCAAGCTGGGGCTGAGTGGTGCTCTCCCACTAGGAGCCTGGCTGAAGACCACCACACACTGTCCCACCTGGAAGACAAAGGACTTGTGCTCATAGCCTTGCCTATAGTTCCGATCATCCTTGCAACTATCAAACTTGCTAGCACAGCCACTGGGAACGGCCAGGGGGTCAGTAGGCCTGAGCTGTGGAGATGGAAGGAACAGCGGTACCGGCAAGAATGATTGCTGCTACTATGTGAGGTGCTGTCATCAGTTACAGCTGTGGAACAGGGTATCTGTTTGAGGGACTTGGGGAACTTTCTGTAGACAAATAGATCCTTAAGGCTAGAAGTAAAACATGTGTACCTATATCCTCCTACCAAGCAGCTCATGGACATGGGAAATACCAAGAGCACATGGCACCAAACTGTTTTCTACTTCTGTAAGCTTAACAAATTAATTCCTTTTTCCAGTGTAGGGAATTTTCTGTCGACTGTTTATTCCCTGCTTACCCGGCAGGCTGGATGGCACCATAGTTCTGGGGCACCGTGGTCTTCGTTTTCTACCTTGAGTGGCTGCCAGGCCCAGGGACCTGGGTGCATATGCAGCAGCCAGGCATCTTTGAACAGCTGCAAGAGAAGGACCAATGACAGATTCAGGGTTGGCATGTGTTCCAACACACACTCGCCTGCTGCCTCACTTACAACTGCTCTACATTTACTTATTTACTGTGTGGCAGAATTTAAAGCTGCGCTGCCTGGTTTAAAGTGTGTGGGCTTTGCAGGGTAGACATCCTGAGTCCCCAGCTATTCATATTCAGCTTTCTCTGCATCTGTGACTCCTACCTCAATCTCATACATGGACACTGACTATCCTGGCATATGGAACTGTTCTTGTGACCCACACACCAACTGTAACTGGTGTGTGTGTGTGTGTGTGTGTGTGTGTGTGTGAGAGAGAGAGAGAGAGAGAGAGAGAGAGAGAGAGAGAGAGAGAGAGAGAGAGAGAGAGAATATATCCGTTAACTTTCTCGGTATGCATTCTTAAGTAAATTCCACATGCACTTCTGTTATCCGTTTTTTTTTTTTTTTTTTTTTTTTTACCCCCCTTTACTGGCAAACTTTATAGCTTAAAGAGGAGCAGAGCTAGAAAGAATGGAGGGATCAATGTTTAGTAAGAGACCAATGTTTCTGATTAAAAGCCCCTCTCACTCCACTTTGCCCTTCTGGAAAAAGAACAGAGAAAAGGGCAGAAAATGCAAACACTACCTACTCAAAGCATGAGGGTATCCTCTGAGTCTGCATGTCCAAAGAGGACTCTGTCTTACTAAACAAGCGGGATAAGCATGGTCCAGGACTTAGCAGTAGAGGCAGTGTCACTGCAATACTCACAGCATTGGGACCACCACAACCGCCAAGGATTAGGATTGTTGCATCATCTATAACAATCTGGGAAGATGAAGAAATTTAAATAAACCTACAAAGACACAGGCATCTGACTCATGATTCAGTGACATACACAAGTGGCATGCTCAGCTCCCAAGTGCGTGCTCCAACGCCCACTCTACCCAATCCATGTCAATCCTAGCCCTTTGAATAGATGACCCTTGAACAGTATATTCTAACTTGAAAACATATGAACACAAAAGTGTTAACCACAGAAAGTGAACAATTTGCTTAAGAAATAAACCCCCCACTAAGGCCACTATAAGCAATACAGCAATAGAAGCTGAGAAAAAGCAGCACGCATGCACACACACACACACACACACACACACAAAACAAAAAAAACAAAAACAAAACCCCGAAAGAAATTCTCTTTGGCTTATTGCACAGGGCACCTCACCTCACTCCCATAAAGACACTACAGTGCTTGCTCAATAGTTAAACTCTTTAGCACCTGAGACTGGCCACCTCGGGGATGAGGACTGGGGCCAGAGATGTTCGGCTTCGACCACGCCCACTGCTCCAGGTCAAGGACCCAGACTTCATTGCTCCTGTGAGATAAGAACACAGTCATAAGCAAGTTGGGTGCTCCAGGGGGCACAGTGGTGGCTGGGAGTCTCTGGTGCCTGTGCCCAGCAGGGAACTTACACCACTTTCATATACAAAGCCTTTCTGGGCTGGAGGCTTCAGAGATGCTTTCCTCAGAGTCTGGGGGCTTCAGAAGAAAAGAGACCATGGCTGAACCCTACTTTTGCAGCTTAAACAAGAAACCTTTGGTTTTCTTTCCTATGAAACAGAAACACTGCTGATTTTACATATGACCAAAACCAAGCACAAGCCAGGCATGGTGGCACACACCTTTAATCATAGCAGGAGATTGTGGAGGCCAGAGGCCAGAGTTTGAGGCCAGCCTGGTCTACAAAGTGAGACCCAGGACAGCCAGTAAGTACTACACAGAGAAATCCTGTCTTGGCAGGGGACGATTATTCACATTATAAAGGTGTCAGTGCATACTCAGCACTAAACCACCCAGAGATCTCTCAACCTTTCATAAGGTCTCAGCTGAGTTGAGTGTGCAGCCACACGCTGGACCCAAAGTACAAGCAGGAGGTAGCTAGCTGGTCAAGTGGCCACCTTCCAAAAAACAAAAGCTACAAGAGAGACCCTCCCCCAAAAAAAGGCATCTATCATTGTGCAGAAGCTAAAAAAAAAAAAAAAAAAAAAAAAAAACTCCATTGATCTTGGTAACAGTATTTCACAGTGGTTCATAAAAGCCTTGGGGTTTTTTGTTTTGTTTTGAGACAGGGTTTCTCTGTATAATAGTCCTGGCTGTCCTGGAACTCACAGAGATCCACCTGCCTCTGCCCCCCAAGTGTTAGGATTAAAGGCGTCTGCCACCAGCACTGGCTCAAAAGCTTTGGTTTTCAGTAATCAACTGTTATATCCAACTCAAGAAGTCAGCAGTGCTGGGTGAAGTGGTGCACACCTTTGACACCAGGCAAAGGCAGGCAGATCACAGTGAGTTCAAGATTAGCTTGGCCTCTATAAATTCCAGGCCAGCCAGAGAGACCCTGTCTCAAGACACCAGCTCCCCTTGCCAAAGGAAAGGAGCAGTATGACCTTGGCATGGACATCTCCCCACTGCAATCCTAGCACTCATCAGGCGAAGGATTGCATGAATTCAAGGTCATACAGAGCTATAAGCTATAAGCAAGACTTTGGGGAGGAAGGGAAGGAGGGAGGGAGGGAGGGAGGGAGGGAAGATGGATGGACGGACGGATGTACAAGGACTGACTCCTGGCTGTCAGTAGAGCTCATGGTTAGCTGTTCTTAAGGTCTTCTACTTACACATAATGATACAAAATATGGACTCCCAAACTTAAATCCTAAACATCTCATCTGGAGGGCAGTTCCTTTTATTTCTCTCTATAAATATTTTATACTTAGTTCACATTTTTTTGTTTTGTTGTTTAAAACAGATTCTCATATAGATCAGGCTGGCCTCAAATGTGCTAGTCTAGATAGACTAGAATAACCCTGAACTCTTCCATAACTTTTTTTTAATAGGCTAGGCTGGTCTCTTTTTATAATTTATTACTTTCATTTTACGTTCATTCATGTTTTGCCTGTCTGTGTGAGGGTGTCAGAAGCCCTGGAACTGAAGTTACAGACAGGTGTGAGCTGCCATGTGGGTGCTGAGAACTGAACCTGGGTCCTCTAGAAGAGGACCACCAAGCCATCTCTCCAGGCCTCCATAACAATTTTAGAACAGAGCTGATGAGTCCTGTCAGAGAGCAAGCTCTGGTCTGCTTTCCTCATAACTCATCTCTGTTTTATTCAGCATACAGAAAACTCCTGTGGTTCCTCTCATAGCAGTGGTGCAGACTGACTGCTGTCCTGGCTCTGGGCTTCACAGGGAGGGAGTGATAGGGAAGGCACGGTGGGGAGCAGCCTCCCTCAGAGTTCCCTGCCTCTAACTCACCCTCTCAATCTCATATCCCATTTGGAGAGTGCACAACTTCTGCCCATCTTGTAAATATACCTCTCTCCTTCTCCTGGATGGCCTGAGCTGCGCAACAGAGCATCCTGCTTCTTGGAAGGTGACCTTCCATAGGCACAAGACAGTAGACAAGGGGGAGGCATCACAAGAACTTGATCCCATTGGATTAAACAGAAAGAAATTCCACTTAACTTTGACTTTAAGGAGCAGATTTTTCAACCTATTGATTTGTGATGGAGAGACAGAAGAACTAAACGCTGTGGTGAAGTAGTCAACTGGGCAAAGGAGAACTATGTTCAGGGACATGGTTGCCTAGTTCACCTTTCTGGCCTGCTATGCCCAGAAATTTCTACCTTTATTAGCATGACCCAAATCAGAAATACTTACATTTGCCGGGATCCTAAAGAGCCACCAAAGACAATCATTTTATCACCTATCACACAGGAGGAGTGGCCAGCCATGGGAGGAGGCCCATGGGTGGTGACAATGCAGTTCCACCTAATGGAAGCAGGGGGAAGGAAGCAAATGTTAGAACAACCTGCTCCATCTTGAAAGTGTAAGGCACAAAGAAGTATTGGCATCCACTAACAAATACAGTCTGTCACCTTTCTACAGACATGTGACCCCTCACACAGACAGACAGACATGTGGCAAAAACACCAATGGGAATAAAAAAGAAAGAAAGACATGTCTGTCAGGCATGGTGGCACATGCCTTTAATCCCAGCACTCAGGAGGCAGAGGCAGGTGGATCTCTGTGACTTTGAGGCCAGTCTGGTCTACAGAGTGAGTCCCAGGACAGCCAGGGCTATGTAGAAAGATCTCCCTCAAAAAACCAGAAACCCAAAACTAGGCAAACATGTTTGAGAAACACCATGTTTGATCCAAGAATGTGGCAGAATACAGGAGTCCCCTGGTGATACTGCTCCTGTGCTCCTGGAGAGGAGCTGCAGACATTGAGAGCTCCTTCTCCACCTGGCTTGCCCACTCTCCTCAGAGATGCTTCTCCTGGGAAAGGGCACTGCAAAGCATCTCAATCCAGAAGCAAACTCCTGCTGTGCTCCTTCACCTGGGCACAACTTTAGCTTCCACCAAATGCTTCAAGGGATTCTGTTGTTATTCTGTTGTTTCGTTAATACTTTTTCGGGCCAGCAAAGGCACTTGCCATCAAGCCTGACAACCTGAATTTGATCCTTAGAATTGACATGGTAAAAGGAGAGCCCCTCACATACATGTTACAGCATGCAAACATATACACAACTAAAATGTAATACAATGAAACTCATTTCTTCCAGATATAGAATGGATTATCTTTGTGGCTTACCAATTTTTAGATGGTGAGTATGTGTGAATTTCATCAAAGAATCTCTCTGGTTGGTGTAAGGGATAGGGACTTGGCCTCGTCCAGCCACCAAATAGCACTAGCAAGTCCTTATACACGACTAGAGTGGCTCCAGCTTTTGGGGAAGGATAGGACCCTAGGAAAAGGCAACAGCACCATGGTTAGGATTTAGAAACTTACCATTCATTAGGCTAGCCAGGGTCATCTTTCCTTGGAAGGACAAGTAGGGAACCAGTGTCACACAGCAGAAGAGTGGGCAGGGGGAGAGGCTGGGTTTTCAGGTCTGAGAGACTCATTACTAAAGATCTGAACATCTTTAGAACCAACAGAGAAAGTTACTCAGCTTTCTTTGGATGGTGGAGTGGGCTGGGTACCCATCTCAAAAGGTCCCAGCTTACTTAAGTTTACAGTGGTGCTGTAGTGGCCTACAGTCAGTGGAAATCCTCCTTTGAAATATCATCTTTTATAGGCTAGTGAGAATGCTGGTAGTGCAGTCAGTCTCCTGGCCACAGGAATGGTGGGTACTGCATACCGTTCTGTGTGGCTGGGCTGGGGTGTCTGGAAGGCCAGGTATAGTATGTATACTTCCCATGTATGATGGGTTCATTGGGCCATAACCCTATCATAAATCACATTGAGCTTTAGACAGCTTGGGCTCCATGAAACCTAACAGGAAGGAAGGAAGGGATGGAGGGAGGGAGGGAGGGAGGGAGGGAGGGAGGGAGGGAGGGGAGGGAGGGAGGAAGTAAGGAAGGAAAGAAGAAATGAATTTGTCTCATGCTAGGATGACAAATATCTCATGGATTATGAACATATCTTTCTGTTTCTGTTGTGAAATGATCATTGCTATTTCCCCCAATTCCTCCCTGGGTATCTCACTGTTAGAATGGTTAAAGTAATTTGTCCCAATATCTAGGGGTCAGAAAATACTGGAGTATCAGAAAAATTTAACAGGCTAGAAATGGCTTAGCAGTTAAGAGTACTTGTGGAATATTAGTTTAAGATGTGTTACATTCATTTATGCTATGGAATATTTGTTTAATAATGCAAAGATGAGTTGCATCTTTTATGTTGCATTTGTTTAACTCTGTGAAGCTGTGTTGCTTTGACTACCTAAAACACCTGACTGATCTAATTAAGAGCTGAATGGCAATAGCTAGGCAGGGGAGAGAAATAGATGGGGCTGGAGGGCAGAGAGAAACAGGAGGAAAAATCTAGGAAAGAGAGCAGTAGAGGAAACAAGGAACGAGAAAAGGAGAAAGAGAGGAAGACACCAGGGTCCAGCCTTCGAGCCACATAGCCAGCCTTGGAGTAAGAAAGGAAGAAAGATAAAAAGCCCAGAGCCAAATTTTAGTTAAAGAGAAACTTTAACTAAAAGTTTTACTTAGGAAAGCTGGCTAGAAAGAAGCCAAGCTAAGGCCGAGCATTCATAACTAAAAATAAGTCTCTGTACATTTATTTGGGAGCTGGGTGGCGGATCCCCAAAGAGAAAAAAGAAAAACAGCTACAAGCACTGGCTGCTATTTCAGAGGATCAGGGTTCACTTGCCAGAACCTGGCTGGCTGCTCACGATGTAACTCTACTTCCAGGGGATCTGATGCCCTCTTCTGGACTCCGTAAGTATTAGCACACACCCGTGGTGCACAGATGCACATTCAGGCAGAATACTCAAGCACACAAAATAAACTAAAAATTAATATTTTTGGTTTGTTTATCAAAACAGGGTTGCTCTGTGTAACCCTGGCTGTCCTGAAACTCGCTCTGTAGACCAGACTGGCCTTGAAGTCAGAGATCCACCTGCCTCTGCCTCCACTACCCTAGAATATTTTTTTTAACTATTACTCCTTTTTTCTTTGTTAAGAAAGGGTCTCTTGTAGCCCAGGCTGACCTCAAACTTATTTCTTTATAGCTAAGTATGACAATGAACTTCTGACCTACTGTCTCAACCTTTCCATTCTTAACAGGTGTGAGTGATATTCAGTGACTTACGCCTCCAGAATATCACGTGGATTTGATCTGAGACCTGGAGAAATTGCTTCACAGTCAAGTGCAGAAACTGAAATTTAACACTGGGTCTCCCACACAATGGAACAAAAGTGCAATTTTTACTTGTTTGTTTGTTTGTTTGAGACAGGGTTTCTCTGTGCAACTCTGGCTGTCCTGGATTGCTCTATAGACCAGGTCAGCTGGCCGGCCTCCAATTCACAGAGATCCACCTGCCTTTGCCTCCTTAGTATTTGGATTAAAGGCATGTACCACCACTGCCCAGTTATTTTTATTTACTTATTAAGATGTGTGTATGTGTGTGTGTGCGCGCACGCGTGTGCGCACATGTGAGTGACCAGAGGCATCAGCTCCCCTGGATCTAGAGTTGCAGGTCCTGCTGTCTGCCCATATGGATGCTGAGAATTAAACTTGAATCCTCTGCGAGAGCAGTATGTGCTGTCAACTACTGATCTGTCTCTCTAGCCCCTCAAAATACATCTGCATTAACAATCTTTAGAGCACCTACACTGAGTGAGGGTTCTATTTATGGGGTTAATAAGCTCCTTGAGCAAATGAATGAATCTGTGATGCACAGCTTTGTCTGGGAAGAGGGTCTTCAATTGAGAAAATGCCCCCACCAGACTATCTGTAGGAAAGTCTGTAGGATATTTTCTGGTTAATTATTGATGTGGGTGGGTTGAACCCACAGGGGGTTCATGGCAGTAACAGCCAAATGTCACAAGACAATAGGAAGATTTACAATCCCATCACTTTCTCAAAACTCATGTGTAGTCTCAACAAATAGGATTGTTATTTTAGTTTTAAGATTTAAAATAAGTAAAAAATCATGTGGGGGGTGTGTGTGGGCGCGCACGCTGGTGATGGGCACACACTTGTCAAGGCATGTGTATAGAGAGGTCAGAGGATTCCTTGCAGTTGCTTCCTTACATTTTGTGGGTTTCAGGAATGGAATTCGGGTTGGTGGGCAGGGAGCAGCAATACTGCTTTTTCCTCTGACTTTCTATATGAGGGGCTCCCCTTGGAGGGTATCACCCCTTCTGAGGGTCTTCTGCTCTCAGACTACCCTTTCTGGGAATGCTCTCAAGGACCTGCCCAGAAATGCATGTCTTGGTTGGTTCCAGAGCCCATCATAATTAGACATCATGAAGGCTAAACATCATGGATATTAAACATCATGGATGTTAAGAATCTTCCTGCTAGGTTGTCAGGGGTGGGTGGGTGTGGGGTGGTGGTGGTAGTGCACACCTTTAAATCCAATTCTATTTTTTAGGAAAACATCTGATGAACTGAAACCCATCATCGAAGCCTACTGATGATAGGTCCCTCCTGTGCTGGGACAGAGCTGGCACTCTATAATCATGACACAGCCTGGAGGCAGTGGCTACCATCTCAACACAATAAATCCAAGCATTTCTCTTTCTTATTTATTTATTTATTTTGGGTTTTTTGAGACAGGGTTTCTCTGTGTAACCCTGGCTATTCTGGAACTCATTTTGTAAACTAGGCTAGTCTTGAACTCACAGAGACTCCCAAATGCTGGGATTAAAGGTGTGTATCACCACTCCTGGCATTAAACATTTCTCTCCAATGGCTTCCCCTCTCTATTTCACTCCCCAGTTTCAGCAAGCTCAGACAAGTCATTAATTGATACAAAAACTCACTGATGTTAGAACCTGAGGACAGACTGGCACATGGACGGGACACACACACACACACACACACACACACACACACACACACACACACACACACACACACACACACATTTCACTATGTGGCTTTGTTTTGTTTTGAGATCTGATCTCCCCATGTGTTTCGTGATCGAGGGAGACCTTAATTTGCTTCAATCGTCTAGTCTCAGGCTACGCAGTGATGGAATTATAGGCATATGCTGCCCTGGCAAACTAAAGATACACATTTTGACTCTTATACCCCACACCCATGCTTTTAAGGCATCCCTGAGTAGTTATGGAACACCTAATGGCAAGGACCTCAGGACCTGCTGTGAAAAGCAGGCTACAGCCATGAGCATAGACAACTCCATGGGTATTGTTCCCATTGCCAAGAAACAAAGCCACATGAAAGACCACTGCATGAACAGGGAGCACTTACCAGCTAAAAAGTTACAACATTAAAAACAGCATGGATTCCTTGCCTCCACTGCAAGCTCTCTTTGATGCAATTTCTCAGGCAGGAGAGGTTGCATCTGGTAACTTGTTAATTGCAGCCCTAGTCAGGGGCACCTTTCAAGTGGGAAACAGGAAAGGCCCACTAGCCCCGAAATATGCCCGTCTATTCATGCTTCTTGGGCAGACCAAAGGTCACCAAAGTTCTTTCTGTATGGGGCAGTTCTGGCTCCTCTCTCCAGCAGCACAGAATGCTATCTATCTCCAAAAAGACCGTGTTCTAGAAAAATCCCAGCACCTGAACTTTATAAACAGAAATTCCTTTCTTCCCTCTGCTCTTCCCCACACACCCTGAGACCATAGACACAGACTGTTCCAGGGCTGCACTGGGTCTGAGGAAAGAAGGCAAAGCTGCCACCCAAGGAGAGTAAGATCAATAGACTGTGCTCCAAACACAGAATGAGTAGCCAGAGTGGGCTAATGAAAGGTGGAGAAGCCCTCTAATCAAGCCATTTCCTCTGCCTGTGTGCGCCAGTCGCCTGAGGCTCTCCTGTCTGCCAGCAAGAGTGGAGGCTGGCAGCAGCCAACCAAGAGAAATGCCTGGCCTTGAGCTCCTCCTGATTGTACCCTCTTGCCTCCGGACAGGACACAGCAGGCCCACGCGCAAATGCAGGATGGAGGCAGAAGTGAGGGAGGCAGGGGCACACACTCCTGTAGCCCCTGGACTCTAACAAAAGTGGGAGTGGAGGCTGTGCCGAGTATACTGTGTCCAGCATCCTAACAGACAGAGTTGGCAGTGTTAGCTGGAAATGTGTGATGATAGCCAACTGTGGATCCCCAATTCCTTCCAAGACCTTCTCACTCTTCTGACAAGTCCTGGTCGGGGGACAGACCTACTTGCAAGCCCAGGAACCCCATATTCCCCTCTCCAGTGCCCCCTCTCAGGTGCTGCAGTTCATGGACACACACAGCCCTCGCCCTGCACCACACGAGCATGCTGCTT